ATAAAAGTAAGTCACACAACTCAATATCGGCACCATATTGGAGAAATACAAGGCATGCAAGGAAATGTGCTGGTGTACCACCAAGCGTTGTATATGAATAAATATACTAGATTATGCTACATACAATAAAAACATATATATATGAGTATAATTTGACACACCCCCTTAACTGTCTGCAGCAGAAACGATGTGCAGGAAACACCCCCTAACCTGGTACACAAGGCGCATCGGAAGATGCAGCACCGTTATGAAAGGAGGAGGCAGAAGGATTTAGCGGAAGGGAGAGAGAGGTCAGAGGGGGATGTGGGCAGAGAAAGGAGGAGGTGGACGGCGGTGCTGCAGGTTTACCCCCGCCACCTTCTCAGCCTCCCCCCCACAGCGGCAGGCGCTGCAGGTGGGCAGCGGCTGACACTGCAGGCGCGAAGAGGTGGAAGGGAGGAAGGGGGAGACTAATGCGGCTTGAGCACTCCCTTAGCCTCGGCCTCCAACCCCGCCACCTACCCCACACTTCGAGCAATCGCAAAAGGGTGCGACAGCAAGGCGCGTCAGCGAGGCGGCACGGTCGCCGCTTCCCCTTGCCTCCCCCCCACAGCGTCCGCTGACGTAGTAGGGCGCTGGCGCAGCAACGGACGCGGACGCTACTAGAGTTGCAACGGAGCATGACGGGACGCTCAGGGGGCAGCCGCGACGGGAGGGCGAGAAAGGGCCGCCGCTGGGGCGCGACGGGGCCTCATTTGAGACGCGATGGGAGGGCGCGACAGTGGGTCCGCAGCTGGCGCAACGGGGGCCGAGCGGGGCCACGACGAGTGCCGTGACGGGTGCGATGGACGATCGCGCAAGCAACAGGTGACGACCGCCATGGCAAATGAAAATTAGGCCCAGGAAATAAGGCTCTGATACCATGCTAGAAATGTAAGTTGTTATGTTTAGGACTATGAGAGCTAGGAAGATGACCGAGAGTGAGAGGAGGGTGATTGGTTATAAAGAGGCAACAAATACAAGGCAGCCAGGGCAAGGTATTGTACCACAAATAGCTGGATAGGAATAACAATATTACGCTATAAGTAGTTAATATAAAAAATGCAATTTGACAGCTATACCTTCACGAAGGATAACAAGCTACATTTCATATATTATGCAGCAACATCCACTCCGATTTTGCGTGTTGTACATGAATCACGAACTGACGATCAGTAACTTCAGCCCAAGATAATCAAATGGTTGATTTTTTTTTGTCACGTGCATGTGCTCTTACAACGTCTTACGGATTAAACAAACAAGATTCACCGTACCGGGTTGGGACGCATAAGGCGTCCCTGTTCGAGCTAGCTGTGCGCATTGGACGCGCGCAAAAGTTCGATGTTGAATATCCGGTTTCGACGTGGATCTGCCCCTTCGTGCGTCGTTGGACGAAATGAGATGACCCATACGATTATTGAGAGGTTGCGTTTTTTTTTAGTGCCAGAGCGAAGTGGTGTATAGAGCGTGAAGACGATGAGAAGCACATGCATTTTTTTAGTAAATTTGATAATGCGTGTGACTGGGAAAATAAAACGACAATTTTTGCAAAGTGTCACGAGATTTGGTACAGCCCAGCGTGAGCCTTTGCAACTGGTGGTATGCCCCAGACATTGGCGGTGCACCGTTTCGCTTAGGGCCGCACCAAATCGTGCTAAGCAAGTGCCGTGCAATTGGTGTTCCGCATTCTCGCCTACCTGGAAGTAAAAAAACAAAACAAAATTGTGCATGTCGGGTGCGTACCAACGCAAATTGTAACACGTCCCTAGGATACGTTCCTGGCTCGTGTCAAGCTTCGGGCCTTCCCGGGAAGACCCGAAGCTTTGGGTTAAACTTCCTGACAAACTTTATATCTTCCGGAAACAGGGGCATTTTTTTGCCGGAAGACCCGAAGTTGGTCTCGGATGACCCAAAGTGGGTCCAACTTCCTGTCATCCGCGGATGACCGGAAGCTTGACACGAGCTAGGAATGTACCCAAATAAGCCTAGAAGTGTCACCCAAACAACCTAGAATACCTAGTGTGAAAAAAACTTAGGACGTGTTACGGTTCGCCTCTGATCTGCTGTGATCTGGTCGGGTCAAGTTGCCCCTGATTGCTTTGCTCGCGCCGCCCGATCAGATAAGATATTCCTCGAACATTCAGCGAGGTTCCATGGCAAGCGTGCCACCATTTCCTGATACTTTCGGGCCCACTTTGGCGAGGGCGAAGGCCTGTCCATAGATCTAGCGATTTTCACTGTCTCCTTGTAGCTTCGCATAAACAGGTGTTCAGAAACGCTGCAGCTTCAGAACCATCAAACGAAAGTTCTTGCTAGGGTGGTTGGTTGTGCGAGGGCTTCACGAAACCCAGCACAACACCGTAACTTGTCGCAAGCGTCGTTTGGTACCCCAAACTAATGCAATCAACTGATCGTCGGTGATTGTGTGGGGTTGTGTTTGATTGGGAGGTTTTAGGCGGTTGATCGAGTTGGGGCGATCAACTGATCGCAGTCAAGTGATTGCCCCCGATTGCCCGAAATCGCCACCTTAGCTTCCCAGAAGTTTTTGACCGACTCTGATCGTGGCAATCAGAGGCGAACCGTAACACATCCTTAGATAATGTTCACCCGTGTGGTGGTGACAGTCCTTTGGTCGTACATATCCGACACGACTGTAATGAAAGATGTGTGTACCATTGATTGCTTAGTTGCCGAACCACTTTCACAAACGAACGAAATTGACCACCAACCCAACTTGGTGGAATGGGATGGCTGTTGCCTCCGTCGCAAGAATGTGGGATAGCGTACACTCAGACGTTACGCTCAGAGGCGCTTGGTTGGATATGCGGTTGTGCCAACCACCGGTCTGGTGGTGGAGAGAGCGACTCCAACACAAGCCACTCCCCTCCACTCGCTCTCATATTGCCGAAAATACTTGCTCAAACAAGAAACCGATAAGCCCCGAGTTCCAACCCTTCGACGTTCAGGGTAAATGTTATTTGGGCTAAATTTTGTTCCGGGTGCCTCGGTCAAGTATTCCGTTTCGGCTCAAGAGCTGATTTTGTGCACTGTGTAGATTCCAGTGTACAGTTCAAGCGCAAAGGAATTGGTGGAATGGAAGTTGCTCTGTCAGAATCCATCCAGTTTTCGATGATGGGTTGCGCTCCCAGTGCGTCTGTTCATTTCTTGCCTTAGGACGTGATGCAGATCGCACCGATCACACGCAATCGGTGGTCGATTGGATCAGAACGCAATCGATTGGGTGTGATTGCCCCGATCTGACGCAATCATAGATCGCCTCCCGCGCCGCGCAATCTGACCAATGTTTTTCTTCGAAACAACGCAGAGCCTCAGCCGCGCCTTCAAGGCGAGTTGTACGTCCCTTCCTGCTCAAAGTTGGCGAAACGAAGCGACCGTCCTTTTCGCGCAATTACAAGGTAGCCCCATTACGTCGCAATTGTGTTGTTTGGTCCAGATGTTCAGTCGGGAAAGTTCGAATGTCGCGAGATGTTCTGTAGCAGCGAGCGAAAACAAAAACATGTTTTGGTGGTTACTGATCGCGCACAGTCACCAACTTACCCAATCTATCGATTGCAATCGGTCGCAATCGATTGCATCAAATTGAGGCAATCGATCACGATCAATCGCGATCTCGATTGCGATCGTCAGATTGCCCCCGATTGCCCAAAAGTACCCCCTGGACCTTCACGGAAATTAGGGATTGCGTAGATCGAGGCAATCAGCCTCAGATCGCCTCGATCTGCACCACGTCCTTACCGATTTTGCTCGATTTTTGCTCTCGGTTGCACTACTCTCTCCGCTTCGTCACTGGTCGCGGGTACACATGCTTGGTCACCCTTCAAGTGTGACCTTCCTTAGAGGTTTTCCCAACTGCAAAGTTCAACACTTTTTACTAGAAGCTATTATGATGGAAGGGATAGTTTTTATTTCCTAAAATCGGCTAGCAGTCTATTCTCGTATTATGCACCTAGGAAACTGAGATTGCTTGCAGATTACCGGGAAAAGGTCAGGGACAGTGAACAACTACCAGTTCAGCGAACATGACAACTGGAGAGAGCAGTCCGCAGGAAGGGCTGGTTCGGTTCAGCCAACCTTTCGGTTCGTTGCACGCACCAGGAAGTCATCCATGGTAGTTTGTCTAGTTGTCCCACACTTTTGAGGCTGCTCCTCCTCCTCCAACTGAATGGGACAACTTGACGGTTGAAACTCTTATTTGGACCAGTCTTTGTGCGTCGGCGATTCTGGCCCTTTTCTCTGGGTAGCATTCTTTGTGCACTAAACACGACACGACATTCTTTGTGTATCCCTCACCCGTCGGGTGCGGTAACTTGCGAATCACCGTTCAGCTCTTTTACCTTCTTACCAAGCACAAACGGTTCTGCGGCGCACGTTACGGGGAGTTAATTGATTAAAATGGCGACCGCGGATCCACACAAGAGCTCGTCAGGACAGGCAAGTACGCTACGCAACTATGCGACGGCTACTAAGTGATGCGGTTACGCGACGCCATAACGCGACGCCATTGCGCGACGCACGTGAATGGTGGAACAATACAGTCCGACGCAATGCGACGCCCGAGTCGCGGTTGTTCCGAGGGATTCGATCAACGGTCGCCATGATTTTTGTCGCAGTAATGCCACGCAAAACGCGACTCAACCGCGATTTCGACGGTCGCCATTGCGATCGCCAATGCACTGGATATAGTTCTCTCCCTCGAACCGACACCTACGAGAGATACCTTTATGTTCGGAACGTCGAAGCGGCAACGAGCCGCCTCCATTGAAACAAGCCGGCAATTGCGGACGATACGGTAACGAGGCCACCTCCGTCGAACCTAATCTTTCACTCCCCCATTCCCCCCCTCCCCCTCCCCTCCCCTTCCCCTTCCCCCCTCTCCTCCCCCTCTCCCCCCCCTCGTCTCCACCCCCGCGCAGATCAGCCAAGGGCGGGTCGAGCTTCCTCCGCACATTGTCGCCGAGGCCATGGCCGCGCTTCGCGGAAACAAGGGCGAGCCGGCGCTCGACGTGCGCTGGTCCGCGCCCATTTCGGAAAACGAGATGCGCTACGTGGAAGATTACGTCAAAGCGCGCTACCCGGCGATTTTCACGGAGTGCATCGTGGGGCTAGGCTTCCCCATGCCGTCCGTCTTAGAGGAGCCCGAGGGCGGGTATCGCGGCGCGAACGGCGGCGGATACGGCGGGGGATTGTCCCCCATGGCGGAGCTTCTCGCGATGGATGACGAGGAGGGGGACGCGGAGGGGGACGGGGGATACGGCGGAATGGGCGCAGGGGGCGCGGCCTTCGGAAGGAGTAACAGCACCGTTAGCGCGGGGGGGAGCAGCAGCGGAACGGCCTCTCCGCAGTTCCGCGAACACAGCACCAGTCCCACGGCGGCGGGGGGAGGAAACGTGGTTCCGCTGATGCGCGACTCGCTGCAGCAGCAGAAGCAGCAGATGGAGCAGCAGATGCAGCAGCAGAAGCAGCAGGTGGAGCAGCAGCGCAAGATGATGCAGCGCAACGGCCCCCCGCCCTCCTTCTCCGCGTCGTCCCCGTCGGAAAACAAGTCGCGGCTCTTCTCGCGCTTCGTCCTGTCGGGAACGGTCACCGCGACGCAGCCGGGGCGCGCGCTGCTGAACCCGAGCAGACTGCGGGTGAGTGGAAGGGAAAAGGGAGAGGGAGAGGGGCAGGGAGAGGGCGGGCGAGGGATTTCTGTAACGAGCAGAGCGCAGGTGCGTTCACGGAGACGAGAAAGAGGTACATAACGTTCCAGCCAGGACGCATGCTGCTGAACCCGAGCAGACTGCGGGTGAGTGGAAGGTGATCTAGGGGAAAGGGAGGGACACATTGGGAGAGGGAGAGGGTGAGAGAGAGGTAGAGGGAGGAGAACCACATTGTCACAACGCCCTACTCTATACCTCGTCATTCCCCCCCCCCCCCCCCCCCCCCCCCTCTTCCTCTTCCCCACCCCCCCTCGCCCCCCCCCCCCCCCCTTCACTCCCTGCTTGCTTCACTCCCTGCATCATGATGGAGAGTGGTGAGGAAAACCGCATCACCTCTGCACCCTCTTCTCTATCTCTGCACCTCCCTTTCCCTGTGTGCCCGCAGGACATTTTGGTTGAGAGCCGAGACGTGCTCGATCTCTCCATGAGTGTGAGCGTGACAGAGCTGCATGCGAGGAGGCGCATTCTTCAGCAGTGCGGCGTGGAGAGTGAGGAGTACCACATCGTATTCACGCCCTCGGTGCAGGAGGCCATGGTGCTCGTGGCAGAAGCTTACCCCTTCCACCGCCACAACGTGTTTCTGACAGCTTTGGATCAAACCGACGACAGTATCAGCATGTTTGCGACTCATAAGGTACGTCCAACGGCGTGGAGAGCGAGGAGTACCACATCGTCTTCACGCCCTCAGTGCAAGAGGCCATGGTGCTCGTGGCTGAGGCCTACCCCTTCCACCGCCACAACGTGTTCCTGACAGCTCTCGACCAGACCGACGACAGCATCAGCATGTTCGCCACGCACAAGGTGGGTTACTTTCTCCTCCTCCTCGGGTGATTTTCGGGATAGGGTTGGGTCAGACTGCTTGTGTGGCCAACATGTGTACCCCTTTCACCGCCATGTGTGCTCCGCACAGCTCTTGACCCGTCCAGCTACAGCATCAGCATGTCCGCCATGCATAGGGTATTGCTCTCTTACAACGCCCTTACCAGCTGGTTGCATGCACATTTCCCAGTCTTCCCTTGCTCCCCTCCCCTCCCTGTAACCCCTCACCTAACTCACTCTCTCTGCAGGACTTGGTTATTCAGGAGCGTGTATCGCGTGGCTCGACTCGAACTGCACTAGTGTGCTTTGGGGATTGTCCTTAAACCTTCACCCCTTTCGCCCTCCCTGCAGGACTCCAAGGTGATCCAGGCGCCCTTATCATGGCTCGACCTGCAGAAGCCTGGAAGCCAGCTCAGCACCAACTTCCGGCGCAAGAGCAAAGCCAACCCCAAGGTGAGTTTTTCGGGTGATTTACCCCGGAAATGTGCTGGACTGTGAAAAGGTTGGAGCTGCACAATCTGGGCAGCCAACACTGTGTTGACTTAGTCAAATTTTCCAGCTCTTGCTTATATTGCAAATAAGAATGAGGAAGGATTCTGGCCAGCCACAAATCATCAGAACCTGTCCTGACAGAAAAAAACAGCACCCATCAATCCTCGCTTTCGTTCACATGCCCCTCCCCATCCCCCTCTTCTCTACCCTCCCCCTCCAGGGTCTTTTCGCCTACCCCATGTGTGCAAACGGCCAAACGTTCTCCCTGCACTGGGTGTCTGAAGCTCAGCGCACCTGCTGGCACGTGCTGCTAGATGTGACCGCTATTGAGCTTGACTCGGGGGTATTCAATCTGACTTCACACAAGCCTGATTACGTGCTCTGCTGCTCTCCGCATATCGTGGGTTACCCGTATAGGCTTGCTTGTTTGCTTGTTAAGAGGGGCTCACAAAACACGGATTTGTGATTGTAGGATGAAATTGTATGGTACTACTATACGAGTGTAGTTGTTTTAGGACTAGACTTGGCTAGTGACACCATGGCCCGTGAAGCTGAAGGGGGCACAGCACATTGCGTGAACACATGCTGTTCAAACAGACTGATTCCAGTAGTTCAACTAGTTCTGAAGTAGGGTCTGTTTCAGTATGGTTGACAACAAGGTTGGCATGTGAATCATGTAGTAGTTTCCTTCAGGGTGTATTGATTTATATTTACGAGTAGCCTTTTCTGCTAGTCCGCATCTTTGACAAAAGTGTCTGGCTGCTACTAGCGAAGTTTTTCCGATTCGCGCTTGTCACGTTCTCGTTTTACAGGCACCTTCATTTGGCACCATGCGCTCAAAGCACACATGCGGGCCGTCACGCCGCCACCATCGAGTGGAAGTGCCGGACCGCCTTCTTGGGCTGCTTGGAAGCTCCGGCACAGTAAATTGGGGGCTGGCCGCGTTTCCACGTTGAAAGCTTTTTGCAACAATGACAGCCAATCGTATTGCTTCGCAAGCCCCGTGACAGGCTCGGTACCACACCGCGCTGAACCACAAGATGCAATCTGACGGTCAGTGTTCAATCTTTCATGGAGGTCATTCTGTTCGACTTGTTTCACGCGCGACGTCGTCCGGGCAGCCCGACCACTTTCGCTGGTTGCCCTGCTTTTGCGTCACAAATGTCTCCCTTGTAGACCACGACTTGTACAGTGAGACGACGGACCGGATCGCACGAATATCAACGCCCCGCGGCTCCACCTCGTTCACAGTGTGCCTCTCGTCCGATCTGTCCATCCGACGGTAAGCTTTGATCAGCGACGAGCTGCGATCGTAACCAGGCGCAACTCAGAGTTGACGGCCTCGTTGTTGCGACGCGATAGCCACATCATGCTTCCTCCTGCCCGCACTGCCCAACCGGATCCAGGCTGTTCGTTTGTGATCAGGATGGCTTACCAGGGAAGTGTACCTCCACACGAGTTATGAACCATGGGTTATCACATTAGATCTAACTGAACCGTAGTAAAACGCCTGCTCAACCTCAGTATCCCCGACCCATCACCACCACTCACACTCGTCACTCCCAATGCTATTTTCCCCACAGGGGTTACCTTCTCTGTGCTGTGCTGTGATTCCCCGCACTGACTGTCTCGTCTTCCTTGACTTATCTTCCGTCCCCTGTCTATTCAACCGCCATTTCCGCCCCGGCCTTCACGTCCATCAACGCCCCGTCTTCCCAGGCGCCACCCTGGGGTTCCGCCTTGCTCCTTTCCCCGCCTTCGTAATCCACTCCGCACCGCAGCAGTCGCTTTCCCAGCCTTCCACTCTCTCCACCACCCTTATAGTCATTGTGGTTCCTAGCCTGGGTTCCTATTGCCCTTACCACCACCAAGGGTCGCTGCGAAGCATCAACACTGATCCGTCTTGGCCAAACCACGGCAAGAATTCAGATTAGCTTCCTCACCTTCTCAAGCCCTGGATTTTTAGTGCTTATGGGCGTCTTGCTTCGATTCAATACTGACTCGCTTAGACTAACATCCAAGAGCTCTTAAACTCTCAACTCGAGATCCCTTTAGGTCAGTAGTTCCGCGCTTTCGCCCACGCGTAGCAGTGTGCGCGCCTTTCTGAAACTGAATCGTGCACCGCGCAAGTTAACACCAAACTGTTCCAATGGGGACGCATGCTGATAGCAGCTCCGTCCTCTCCTTCCCTGCAACCACCAAACTCCCTCCCGCCATGGCTTGGTGTCAATTTGCTCCGGTTTTTCAGTCGTCAGACCTGCCATCATCCCCGCCGCCGATGTTGCCGGTTGCAGGCGAAGCTGACGGTGAGCCGTTGCCGGTGACCGGCAAGTCCATGATGGAGTGGAAGGACTCGGTTGTCCGGGCGGCTGCGGCGATGGGAACGACGCCCGTAAGTGACTCGTTCGACTCGTGTTCCTCCGATACAAGCTTATCCGATACAAGCATGTCGGAGTCCGCGGCCCTTACCTCTGAGTGGAGCTCTAACTCGTTACTTAGTCTAAGCTCTACTCGCTCTGGAGAAGCGGAGGACTTAAGTAGCACTGAGGGTTCTGGAGCCGCCTCACCTAGTAGTCCGGATATGGCGGATGCGGCGGCGGCGGCGGCGGCGGATCTACAGAGGGTTCTGCTGTTAGCGGAAAACGCGGGGAAACTGGAGGAACTAGCGGAGAATGCGGCGAGGATGGGCCTGGTACCCGAACCCCAAGCGCTCGCGTTAAAGCTGGAGCGAGCAGCGGCTGATGCGGGGGAAACGGCGGAGACTGCTGACCAGGTTGCTGACGTCATCGATACTGCCACCCCTGTTACGCCTGCCGCTCCTTCTGCTCCTGTAGCCAAAGTATCTCCCGCAGCTGCTGCCGGCCCGCCCGCCGCATTCGTCGCGATGCAGCGACGATCCGCCACGAGTCGCGCCGTGCACAACGCCGCCCGGCGCGACGACGTGGAGGAGCTTCGAGCGCTGCTGGCGGAAAACCCGGAGCTGATTAACGCGCGGTCGAGCCTGGTGAGTGGCGGAACGAGGGTTGCGCGGTACACACCGTACTCTCTATTTTCACAACTCCCCCTCCGCTCCCTTTTTCTCTTCCCCTCCCCATTCCCCCTTAACTCACCACCTCTCCTTAACCTTTTCTTCCGCTCCCTCCCGGCCGCCTCACCGACCCCGACCTCCCCCTACCCCGCCAACAGACGTGCCAAACCCCCCTGCACGAGGCGGCGGCGGAGGATGCGGCAGAGGCGATTCGTCTGCTCCTGTCGTTCGGCCGATCGCCGTCAGATGCGGGGAATAGCGGCAGGGACGGGCAGACGAGGGAGGACGCATCAGGCGCGGTTCCCGCGGACGTCGAGGCGCGCAACATGGTGAGCGAAACGAATTCCATGCTTCCACTTTCCGCCATCTCCCCCCTCCCCATGTCTCCGCTCCGCAATCCCTCCTTCCCTCCCCTCCCCCTCCCTCCCCCCCTCCCCTCCCACCTTCCCCTTCTCCCCTCGCTTCCGCCTCGTGTCAGCCCCGTCATTTGAAAGTTTCGCCTCTCCTCAATTCTTCCTCATTTCCCGCTTCTTCCCCACGCGCTCCCCCACGCCACCCCACTCCTCCCCTTCTCCCGCCCCTCCGCTCTCCTGCATTCGCGGCTTCCCGTCGTCCCCGTTCAGTTCGGCGAGACGCCTCTGCACATCGCCGCCAAGATCGGCAGCGCGAGGAGCGTCAAGGCGTTGCTCGAGTGCGGCGCGGCCGTGAACGCCGCTGCGTCGGTGAGTGGCAAGGCGACGCGGATTGGACTTCAGGAATGTTGGGATAGGGCTGGGAGTGGGGGAGCACGATAGGGCTATGGGGTGAGCAACTCGGGGTGGGGTGGGGGCACGTGGGGATAGGGCTGGGGAAGGATTAATACCGGAACTGCTCGGGCAGGTCGTCTCGCGAGGGTCGATAATCATGCGCCATCGACGTCCTTCCATCCCGTTCCATCTGGCTGTCCTTCTCCGCTGCATCACTTCAATCACTCGCAGACTCGCTAAGTGCTTTGTTTCTGGTCATCATTCCCTTTCCATTGCAGAACCGCGCCACGCCGCTCCATCTCGCCGTCTGGGCGGCAGTCAACACTGCTGACGTGGGTGATGCTCCGGCTGGATCGGGCCAGCTGAAGATTCTGGAAGTGGTGGAGCTGCTGCTGCAGCACGGTGCTGACGTGGCAGCGCAGGATAAGGATGGCAACTCTCCATTGAGTCACATTCAATCAGGCACCTCTTCCGCTACAAGCACCAGCAACAACAGCAGCATCCGCGCCTCCCTTCGGCGAATCCTCGACCGCCACGTGGCACTCCACGCTCCCTCCCCGTCTCCGTCCCACTCCTCCCCCGCCTCCGCATTCGCCGTCATGCAAACGCTCGAAAAGGAGTTATCCTCGTTAATAGGCCTCCCGCTATTGAAGCAGCAGCTGCGCGTGTGGGCGAAGGGCTTAGTCTTAGACCAGAGGCGGCGGGAATTGGGAATCCGCGTGCAACCGCGCAAACCTCCGCACATGGCTTTCCTGGGATCTCCGGGCACGGGGAAAACCACCGTGGCGCGCGCGCTTGCGCGGCTGTTGAATTTAGTGGGTGTTTTACCCACGGATAAGGTGGTTGAGGTTCAGAGGACGGATTTGGTTGGCGAGTTTGTTGGGCACACTGGCCCGAAAACGCGGAGGAAAATCCTGGAGGCGGCTGGAGGGATTCTATTTGTGGACGAGGCGTACCGGTTGGTTCCGCAGCAGCGGTCAGATGAAAAAGATTATGGTGCGGAGGCGTTGGAGGAGATCATGTCGGTGATGGACTCGGGCAGCGTTGTTGTGATTTTTGCTGGTGAGTTCTGCTCGCTTGGATTGATGGGAAGCTGGGGAAGATGCTGAAGATTTCAGTACTTGGGTAGTGTAGTTTATTTGTATCACTGTTTCATATGTACTCTTCCTCACCTTCTCTTACCTTTTCTCCCCTGCCCTCCTTCCATCCATTCCAGGCTATGCTGAGCCAATGAAGCGGGTCTTTGCAGTGAACGAGGGGTTTCAGCGGCGTGTGTCACGTGTGTTTGTGTTTGACGATCTCTCTCCACTCGATATTGCCCAAGTCCTTCTGCTGAAAATGAAGCAGGCGGCTGGGGAAGCTGCTACTAACGGGGATGAGCGTGATGTTGACTGTGCTAGCAGTGTCAGTAGCAGCAGCAATGGTAGTAGAAGTGACTATGGAGCAGCAGCCAGTGGCAGCAGCAACAGTGACTATAGTGAAGCCAGTCAGCAGTCGCCCCTTGCTGGATTCAGGTAATTTCGGTTAGAAGTAATATTGCTAATAACCCTTGACCATCTCTGCACACATCTATTTCCTGTATGTGCATTCTTGTCATACAGTGTAGTGTACACACTTGCTCCTTCGTCCTCCCCTCACTCTCCCTCCTGTCTTGTATTCCCCTCTCCCACTGCAGGTTGCATCCCAGCATAACTCCATCGTCCCTAGCAGCTGTTATCACCCGATCAACCACAGAGGAGCAGAGAAGGCAGAGGAACGGCGGGATGGCACTGCCTGTGCTAATGGACGCTCGAGATCGACTGGATGAACGGCTGGATCTTGACTGCTGCGACATGGATGAGCTTGTGACTATAACAATGGAAGACATCGAGACAGCTCTGTCGATCATTCCTCAATAGCAAGCCTGAGTGTGCTTGTAAGGAACGGCATGCTTGGGTCAAGTCGCTGGGGCGAGGCAGCGAGGCTGACAGCAAGTGATGATTTCTGCCCCAGTTACACTGTTAAAGCAGCGGAGCTGGATGAGCTGCCCGAAAAGAAAAAAACTTCTGACTCAGATGCAGTAGGAGGCTGCAAAGCATTGTCAATCCAGGTCGCAACTTTGAAGCAGTGAACCCCCACCCGCTAAGATCAACTTAGTGGGGATTCGTAGGATGGAGATAGCTGGCTGGAAAGGCAATAAGATGCAGTGCAGCAGCAATAGATTGCTGCTGACTGGCTGGTAAGCTGGAGCCGGCAGCAGCAGCAGTGAGAAGCTGTCAACCTAGGTGACAAGAGTAACCAGACAGCAGGTAGGGCAACCTGAGCAACGAGCATGACCACCCTCGTAGCCCAAGGCTAAGTAACCAACCTGTAACTGTTTTGTGGCCACTTGATAGTTCAGATAGCTAGAGTAGTTGGCAATGTACGTAGTTAATTTAGCAGTAAAGCTGTGGAGTTTGACTGCTCTGTTTGTCTTCCAGTGTTGATAAAGGTGTTACATAATCAAGGGGTACAAACAATCTATAAAAGGAGCTGAAGGATTAGATTTTGCAAGGTTGATGTGAGACCCAAACAGCTGTTTTTTGGGCGATAAGTCGCATACCTAGTTCTCATACCTCCATGCACACTCCTATGCGAGCCAAAGCAAACAAGGCACCACAACCTCAACTATGGTATGTGTGCACACCGTTATGGCTGCCTGCGGTACTTGTCATGTAGTTCTTGAGCAAATGCAAGGACTCTGAGAAACAGAGGAGACAGCACGAGGAAACAAAATACAGCAAAGCAGGCTTACCGTTAGTCGACAACGGCAAGGGATGGGAAATTGCACACACATAAGGAATTGGCAGAGGGAATTTATCCTCATTTCAACATACAACAGGCAACCAGCGACATGGATAGGAGCGGGTGGGTGGAGGCACATGCATGGGGTTGACACACACGGATGGGGCTGAGCCACATGCATGGGTTTGACGCACATAGATGGGGTTGAGGCATGCTGCACATGCATAGGGCTGACAGACACCGATGGGTTTAGATTAGAGAACATGCATGGGTTTGAAACACATGGATGGGTGGGGTTATAGAGCACAAATGGTATTGACACACGTGCATGGAGTTGACACGCATGCATGGGTTTGTTGAAACACATGCATCGTTCTTATTGGTGGGTCATGCATATTCACGTCGAACCTAGCTTCCACCCTCCCATCCACCCACCTGTCCCCACTTAAGATCCAGATAAGGTGCTATCATACACATTCCCTTCGTAAAACATATTCTGAAACCCCTCCCACCCCCACACCTCCACCTCAACGTGAAAATCACATGTCCAGCCTGAGAGTTCTCCCTTATCCTGAAGCCTACACACAAGCCTGAAAGTTCCCCTCCAACCTAAATGCCTTCCCCGTACAACTGAAAAGTCCTCCACAGCCGGAAACCTCCCCGCAACCCTTCCAGCCACGAAGGCCCTCCTCACCTTCATGACCCTCCCTTCTAGAACGATTCATAGGACTTGAACGGGTCATTGACACGATCCCTGCTTACGTCAATACCAGTTTCGCACGCCTCTCTCCCCACCTCCGACCAAACAAGGAAATGTACGAAATCCCGGCTCTCTCCATCATTGTTCGAGCTGCCTACTATAACGCAGCCCATCATCACGTGGCTTGCTCCAATCGCAATCCCAGGTAATCAGGACAAGTAGCGTTAAAATAACTATCTATTCTCCTTTTTTCAAAAGACTCACTTGCATGCGTTCTCTTCGACATTCGGCACGTCGTAATTCTGTCCGACGTATATCCCCACCACCGTCCCCGCTAAGAAGCTCGTCACGGCCTTGTTATAGAACACCACGTTGGCCAGGAACGTGCCGACGAAGGTGCGGACGAGAGCCATGCGCGCGTGATGCGAAAAGGGTTACCGCATCTCGAGAAATAATTTCGGATTAGGACTACCTGTTGCTCGTGACAAGCTCGAAAGCGAGTAGAATGAAGGCAGATGGGTCACGGGCACGGAAATCTCATCCAAGTCTCAAATATATTAGGCAGATGGTGGTCTTCGTGCCTGGGCCAAATGATTGGTGTCAGAGTGCCAAGTTTCCCGCGCAAATTGCACTCTAGTGTCAAAGGAGGCTGGTTACAAATTGTACCAGACTTGTGAAGGGCATTTTGCGCGTTCGTTTCCAAACCACTCTGCTTGTTTGGTTGGGCTGCGGAAAAGAGAACCACTGTCTACCGTGTGGGATCTTGCTGGAAACGCACTTGACCACCAGAGGAGGTACGGGCAGGTTTCCCGAACCTGGTGGTTCGTTTCTCACAAGCCACTGCACCTCCCCCAACCACAACCACCACGCACTTCTGGCCGTGTCGTGAAGAACTGGATTTTGCTCAATACCGTACCCAAACCATCCTACACAATGGATAATTATTCTGAACCGTACTAAATCGAACTTTCTTCTGTGACACGGGTTCAGCTTCACGTTGACCGTAGCAGCAGGGCTGACAGCGCTTGACTAGTCCTCCCCTACTCTCCTTTTCCATTTCCCTTTTCGAGCTTCCGTTCTTTCTTCGTTTTCCATTCTTTCGAGTGTCCATCTTAGTTGCACCATCTGCGTTTGCAACAGGAAAATATGGACGGCGAGGAAATCGACGGGTTTAAAAAACCCTCCGCGAACCCGGAGGAGACGGCTACGAACGGCCAAAAGGAGACTATGGAAGGTTCTAAGGAGGGTAAATCCGCGCCAATGAAATTCTCTTTAGGCAAGATGAAAGGCTCGGCGAAGGTTTCGCGGAAGACGCAGGAGAAGAAGGACGAGGAGATCGAGCAGCGCGAGTTGATAACCGCCGTCGATTTCACCGGCTTGGTAGCTAAGGACGAGTCCAAGTCGAAGCGCGGGCCGAAGATAATTTCTCCGCTAGAGGACACGTGGAAGCCGGAGAAGCGGATGAAGAGTGTAAATCCGGAAATGGAGGAGATTATGGGAGGTCCGGAAAATAAGTTCGATATGGGTACTGCGGGATCCTTACCTGGAGGGGAAGGAAAAGAGAATGCTGATGGAGCGGACGAAGCTTCTGGCGGCGTTCGATACGGTTTGACCGTCAGATCTGCTCCGGAAAGGTTTGACGATCGAGATCAACGGCCAATTATAGATCCTGAAACCCAGAAGCTACAGGAGGATCTTGATCGTCTCCCAGACGAATCGAATTTGGACGACTACGAATCAATGCCTGTAGAGGATTTTGGAGTTGCGCTTTTAACGGGGATGGGTTGGCAGAAAGGCAAGCCCATTGGTCGCAACGCCAAGGGATTGGCTGAACCTGTGGAGTTCGTTCCGAGGCAGGGACGCCTGGGTTTAGGAGCTACTCCAAAGCTGCTGGAAAATAACAAGAAGCTGATTAAGCCCGGGGAGACCCGAGGGCCCAAGCCGGACCTGGTAGCTTCGGTCGGACCAGACGGGAAGGTTCGGCATGTGAAGCCGATTTCGGAGAAGCTAGTGGAGAGGGTGAGGCCTGGGCCGGCCAAGGGGAAGGTGATGAGGATAGTAGAGGGACGGCATGAGGGGTTGACAGGGGAAGTACTTGAAGTGGTGGAGTTGGGAGAAGGGAAAGGGGTTCAGGTCAGGCTGGTGCTTGTGAGTAGTGAGGAGGTGATTGTAGTGAAGGGGAAGGAGGTGGCGGATTTGGGATCGTGGGAGGAAGAACAGGCGATGAAGAGGATACGAGGTGAGGGGGCTGGGGATGGGGAAAAGAGGAAGGTGAAAGAGAATGATCATGCGGGGAGGAGGAAGGCATTGGAAATGGAGGAGAGAGAGGAGGGAGAGAGGAACAGAGGGAGAAGGGAGGGAGGGAGAGAGGCTGAGAAGCGCATTGAGAAAGAGAAAGATGATGGGTCTGTGGCCAGGGACAGAGACAGGGAGCGGGAGGGGGGAAAGGACAGAGAAAGAGGTGGTGAATCGGATAGACATGAAGGCAAGGAGAGAGAGAGAGAAAGGGACAGAGTGAATGAGCGAGACAGGATCAGGGACAGCGACAGGGATAGGAACAGGGACAGTGAGAGGGGGGATGGCCGTGAAAGGAGAATGGACAAGGAGAAGAGCAGCAGGAAAGAAGACAAGCGTGAACAGGCTTCAACTAGGCACCGGGCCGTACGGGAACCATCCCTCTCACCTCCTCCTCCTCCCCGTCGGCGACCGTGGTTGATGCCGCATATCCGAGTGCGCATTGTGGATAAGCGCATACATGGGGGGGGGCTTTACTTGAAGAAGGGGACAATTGTCGATGTTGTCACGCCAACGACGTGTGACGTGCTGCTGGATTCCGGGTCATCAGAAGCTGGTGAAAGAAGTGGGAATGGGGTCAGCAGCAGAGGCAACTTGGTCCAGGGATTGAAAGAGAAGGATATGGAAACAGCTTTGCCGAAGAAAGGTGGCCGCGTTATGATTCTTCGTGGCGCTAATCGAGGGCAGGTTGGGAAGCTTTTGGAGAGGAGAGGAGAGGAAGGTGTGGCTGTGGTCCAGTTGGCAGAGTCATTCGCTTTGGAGCGACTGGCAATGGATGATGTGGCAGAGTATGTTGGGGAGCTGGGCAGCTATGAGGGGTAATTGCTGTTTGTTGTGCAAAATGCGGTTTCATGCTGGCACATTTGCACAGCTGATCATGCAGAGCATCTACAGAAGGAACTTGGTTTGTCACGGTTCTCAGTTGTGCATGCATCAGCACATGCGATGCAAGCCTTGGCTGCTTAGTGCATGCTCTATGTTTGGACTGATAATGGGTGTGGTGGTGGTCACTTGATGGTGCTCAGCTCACAGCTTCTTTAGGGGAAGGGTTTATTTTTTATTTAATTATAGTGAAACATAGAAAGCATTGCAAATAAGTGATACAGGAGTGTAAACAGCTGCATGAACTAGCTGACAGTAGCGGCTCTCACAAAAATCCTCCTGCAAGGATCTCAATATCACTGTACGGACTGGCTTGCTTGACCTTGAGGTAGTTCATCGTTGCAAGAACTGCCAAGAAAAGAAGTTTTTACGGTAGGCATGAAAAGTGAAAGCAGGCTGCAGGTAATGGCACCAAGGGGCAGAAATGTGCTAGACTTACCACATGTTTGGTAAAAGATGCGGGCAGCTTGCTGCCTGTTGCAGTCTGCTAGAAGTTCATGCAGTGATGCGAATTTTATTTCTGGATTGCTGAAGACTTGCTGGCGGAAAAATCTGCAAGCACAGAGCCTGAGTGACTGACACATTCAGCCAGCAGTTGTTACAGAGGGATGTAGTCCCGCTTACCCAGCAAGAGATGCTGTCCTCTTGTCAATGGAAGTTGCAGGGAACTGTGTCTGTGTTGCATCCGTTTCTTGCAGGGGCTCGGATACACCTGAAATAAACGAGTGCATTCTAAACGATTTCAAATAAAGAAGCCCAATAAAGCAGGAAAGGCACTCACCAAACTGGCTCAGTGCACCTCGCAGTCCACTGCTGCTATGTTTGGAAGAAAGCTTTTCAGCACTCTGCCCAGGAAATTGAGCAGTTAAATCATCAGCCAGGTTTTGAGGAATCTGTGGCGAGCCTTCCATCAAGAAATCTGCTATGTTTTGAGGACGGTTTCTGCAAGATCACAGTTGAAGTGGCTTAGTAAGAACGAAAACAAAGCAGCAACTATAATGCAACCAAGTGCAGAAGTCGGACTCACCCTCTATAGAAGTCTGGGTGATTTTCCTCCTCCATTGGAAGAGGGACCCCACCCGAAGAGTTCTTCGTTCGTTCAAGATCCAAAAGCCCTGCAGGGTGTTAGGTGAAGTATTAGAAAACGGACGGAGCTTGTGCAATAAGGTGACGACACGACACAATGACCAACCTTGAGCAGGTGGAGTCACGTCATCACGTCTTACGCCATTTCCTGCCACCACTGGCGTCTCATTTCTTTCCCTCATAGCTTCAGCAGATCCGAAATCATCAAGCATAGCCTGATTTGGCATCTCAGGATCCTGCGAGGTCAAACGATTAAAGATCTTGAGGTAGAGACAGCATTTGCAGAATAAAACCGTGGAGTATGGTTATGGTAGGTACCTTGTCACTTCCACTTTCCATACGAGCTTTCTTCGAGGCATGCATCTCTGCAAAGGTCAGACAACCTCGATAAGAAACAAGGGGAAAAAGGTGATAGAAAAAACAACTGATGTGGAAGTTGAAGACACCTACCGTCTGTTTCAGGATTGCTTCTGAATGTGTCCTTTCGTACATATCTGTTCCACGTCCGCAGCATTCCTTTGGACCATCTGGAAGCTACAAACCCGTCCATTGTGACACTTCCAGTCAAGGGAAGGTCAATGAGAGATTCAATAGATTTTTCCAAAAGCGCCTTCTGATCCTGGAATCGGCAGAAACATTAGAAGTGGTCCACATCCTGGGAAAGGTTCACAATCCGGTCATACCTTCTTCACCCTTCCAATAATCTTTGACGTGTCTTGCAGCCATCGGTTGAATTCCATCGGGGCCACCTCTGTCCTATCCTCATCCATAACAACTTTCTTTGGGCGCGCCTTCCGTTTAAGCTGCCTAGCTCGCTTTGGAGCCTCATTTTGTTCAGGCTGCCACATTGCAGGGAGCGCTATGAGACTGCAATGCTTAATGTGCGGAACCTGTAAAAGCGAACCCATACATACCGACTCGGGTGCAGCAGTCAGGTCCCGATTATTTTGTGGTTGGCCTGCTTCTTGCTGGTCTTCTATGATGGTCTCCGGATTAGGACCTTGAGGGATGCTCGGCTTCGGCGAATTCATCCCTGAAATTTAGATTCAGAGTGCAACTTAGAAACAACAACATTCAGGATCGTCCACACATAGCAGACAAGAAGCTGGGTTTACCCGTCAGAATGTCTTGCCACATAGCGTCAGCAGCACCTTCGTCTTGAAATGTCATAGGTGGTTGATCATCAACCCCGAACCTGCGCATGCATGTGTAGATAAGTCATCTGAAAAGGAACAGCTGTCTCAACAACTTTCAAATCGCACCTGGTGAAACCTTCGTTGTCATGTTGCAACTCCGGAAGGGTAATGTCCGCAGGTGTCGCTGGAACATCAAACGAGTTAGCTTAAGCCGAAATCCCACTGGTCAAATACAGCAAGTGCAGGCTGCAGGCTCACCCAAAGTGTGCTCATTTCGGCCATCACGTGCAACTTCTGGTTGAGGAAGCACAAAAAACTCCTGAAAAGTGCATTCATGATTGAGAATGGATGTGTGCGGTCTTGCTTACAAGAAAATCCTGGGAGCATCTTACATTTGTCTGGTCCCCAGGGGCACGACCAGAATCAAGAGTGACGTCAACGTTGAAGCTACCAAACTGGTAGTCGACCGTAACACTCTCAAATCTGTGACGCTTGTGGTTAGCTGCAAGAATGAGAAAAGCATAATTATATCTATAGGTCAAACAACCAACCTTGCTTGGCCTTTCTCCCTCGGCAGCGTTTTGTCATCTCGCTTCACAACCAGAGCCGCGTTAATCTTTGCCTGCGCAGAATGCACCGGGGCGTGAGTCGTACTTTCTCACACGCGAAGCGAAATAGGATCAAAAACTCTTCCCACCATGAAAGCTTTGGCATCCTCCAGAAGAAACGTGACTTTCTTTGAATACACAATGACAGCACCACCTGTAGGACAAACCATTCGCAATCAGTATCGTGTCCCTGGACGCGGTTTCAAAGACACGTGCGTCAATTTATACCCATTAGGATCCCGGAGAGACGGAGAGCAAGTGGAAGTTCAGGCTCTAATATCCGGGCGCAGATGTCTCGAATGTCAATAAGTGCAGCCTTTTTCCGGTTTATGCTTCCTTGCATCATGGCGGCGATCCTGTTGAGGCAAAACAGTTGTTTGCTAAGCTGGCCGAAAGCATGATGTGCAACAACTGACTTGCGGACTCTGAACCGTACCATATTTGGCCGAGAGGGCTTTTCCTCGAAAGCAAGGAGTTTGAGTAGAACATGGTTAATCAATGGACAAGCAATGAGCTGTAGTCGTGTCTTCAGCTAACTGGTGCAGGAGAATGCAACTGGGTCGAGGGCGAGAGGATGCAGGAGAATGTAAGAAACTAGTGCTATTCGACTAAATGTCAACAGAGGTGGTCTGCTTTTGCTGACAAAACGGGAGCATAGCCAACCTTGAGCTTGCCGTGCTTGGCTGGTCATTTTGAAACTGGGAGGCCATCGATTCTTCACCAAGCAGGGTCGAGCAGCGACAACTTCAAAGGAAGCTTGCGGAATTCGAAGGGTTGAACTTTTGACTTGTTTGAGCACGTACATTTCGAGGGCAAGTCCTACGAATTCATACGTGCACACCCGTACCGTACCGTACCGGCAAACAGCTACGTAAACCGCACTACAGTAGTATCATGCCCTAGCACGGCGAGGAGTGTATTGGCCTTACTACATTTGCATTCATTGCTCCGTAATAGCTTACCCAACCGAGCACAATCAACTAAATATCCTGTGAGTTGACTTCAGAATGAACTGAAACTGGTACACTGTTAAAAGACTACAGTCATAAACAAAGATTCACAGTTATCAGTTAGGTACGATATTAGGTACACTGTTAGGAACACTAACTTGCATGAGTGCTGGGTCTTTGTATGTAGGTCTCCGCCCACCGGGTCCGTATCGTTCAAATGTCAAAGCTGCCTGAGCGATCGATCGACCCCTGACATCCATCAGCTCAGTCAAGGCAACATTGTTGTCCGCGATCCCATCTGGTCCTTCGGGAAAGTTGCACTTGGCAGCAGATCCTCTGAACTTCCTAGAGATGGCATCATATGCCCGAGCTGCTTCTTCTGGGGTGTTGAAGCTTCCAAGCCAGATGCGACGGCGCGAGTGAGGGTCCCTGGCTTCGGCCACCCATTTACCAGACGGACGCTGCAGAGACAGGAGAAAAACAGCAGGAAAAAGACAGTCAGGATAAGTGGAAGCTCCAATGCCACAAACGGATACAGAAAAAAAAAAAAAAAAAAAAAAAAAAAACAACAACAACAACAACAACAACAACAACAACAGAGCAGACGTCTGAGCGGGAAAAAAAGAGACACAGCTCAGAAATTTACCTGGCGAACGCCGCGGAAAAGCCGAGTGCGGCCATCTTTCATCTTGTTTCCGCTCTTCTCGCTCTGCGCAGCACCATCAGCTCCAGCGGCAGCCACAGCAGTGGACGCATCCACAACAGCAACCGTGCCATCAGCAGATGCAGCTGTGCACTGATCCGCACCCGAGCCTCCAGCATAGCTACTGCTGCTCGATGAGTGAGACGGCAGAGAGGCCGACGGAGGGACAGATGTGCACGGCGACTGATCCTGAGGAACCAGAGACGTGCACATAGCTGCCGCTCCTGTCGACTTTGCTGCTGGTCCTGGCATTGCTCTCACAATAACCGCTCCCGGTGCAGCAGCAGCAGGCTTTGCTGCTGCCACAGGCGTAGCCAGCTGGCCTGCTGGAACTGGCCCGGTCAGGGACTTCGGCAGCTGCAGGAGCCCCATAAGAGGCGCCGCTTTATGCGATGTGACAGTGTGCGGAGTGACAGTACGGGGAGTTACTACTGTCTGTGCAACCACTGTACGTGGA